TCGTATTAACTATTTACCAACGTTTCTGTTAAATATAAATCCGATTTATTGAAATAGACGCGTTATAAATTGAATAAAAAACACTTGCTATAACGAAAAGTCGAAATAGCTGATGCTAGGACTAGAGTCAAGCAATAGTCAATTGAACAACATTTTTTTTAAAGATTTAAAGGAAAGCAATCCACTGTCACCGTAATTATTGCGTTGTTTTTTTGGAGACAATTGATTGTAGCCAGGAAAATAATCATGTACCATTGTCGCCAACTTTCTAATACTTCGCTTCAAACTTTTTCATTACAATGCGTTAATAATTGAGAAAAGCGTAAGTGAAGCGAAATAATGAAATTAAATCCAGTGTTTAAATTTTTATTGCAGAGAAAGCTAACTTTATAGTTTTTTTATTATTTTATTCTTTCTTACAGGTATTCCATAAAAATGAATATTAATAGTTCTGCTATAATATATTATTAGTCATTAATTCATATTAACGATATCTTTTTCATCACTATATTAAGTTTTCTCTGCGGGTCCTGTATCCCAAACCTTTTGTTCATTTATGCTCATATATGAACAAATAGAAAAAAGATTCAGTACATAAAAAGTTTTCTTTTAAGTAAAACAAGCATTAATACGTTCAGTGTTCACATCATTTTTATGTAAATTTTTGTCCGAGTTATAACTTCAAAAATTATTTACATTTTTGGCATTGTTATGATATTTAAAATCCTTGTACCAGCAATCTTCTGATTTCCTCAACCAATTGCTTCAATTGAGATGTCTCCGCAAAATATCACACCGTCATCTTCGCAGGTCGCCAGTGTGGGGGTATTCAAATTATCTTCTTGCATCTTCTCATAACCATTGGGCTGCAGCACCTCTTCCGCTCTTCCTGTAAAATACGCTAGCAACCTATAGAAATGGTCAAAACTTGTAGTTAGATTTTCGAAATACTAAATACTGTAATACAGATCTTTATACTTCAATGCATATTTCCATAGTGCTTCTCGAATTACAATGGATTTCGTACTTTTCTTTAAGAAAATTCGCCGAACTTTGGTAAGGCCAAGGGCTAAGGCTCCAGAGCGTATCCACTATCATCATAAGAACGATGTAGTTTTTGGCTCTTTAATTTTTTTTTTTTTCATCGATTACTGAGAAGCCAAGCATTGCTTTCATGCCGAGGTAAGCTTTGACTGGATTGTTTCCACACATGCGAATCATGGGAAAATCCGGGAAATTTGAAATTGACCGGCATGATTTTAATATCATGCTCGCAAATCTAGAAAAAAATGTTTATATTTATGAAAATAAAAAGAAGTTGCTAAAACACAAATATTCCGATTACTTTGATTTGAAAAACATGTATGCTTTCCATCAACACATCCCTATAATAAATAGTAAAAATATTATAATGATCGTTTTTTATAAGGCAAAAATTTCAATTACCGCCCAGAATACTACATTTCTGGCAAAACTCTATCTTCGAATCCCTGTTTACGATCCTTTGGATCCACTCCACACATCTCTTGTAACACCTCTGATACAATTGTTGATAGCGTACTTTGTGTCACACTTACGGTATGGACGCTGCACAAACTTACTTACTGAACGGGCAGATCATAAGTCAACCCTATACTTCGCTTTTGGCTCTACGGGAGACACTGAAGTTGTGGTTTATAAAAATGCATTGAATAATCTGAAAATAAATTTAAGACCTTTATAATATTCTGCTGATAATGCTGTTTTTGGTTGTTACCGACAATGCCGATACGTACTTTAAATTTAGGATCACGAAACTGGATAGGACGCTTGGACACTGATTATGATGCTTAATATACTCAGTTTTAACGCGAAATCCAAATACAATTTAAATCTCTTTGCTTTTTTCTTGATGCAAGTCAGTTACAGGACCCACACGAATATTATCGGTGATTGTGTATTTGGAAGATATGGTTGTAATGGTGTAAAATAAACGTGGCTGTTATTATATAGCGCACTAAAAATTGTAACTGTTGCAGGGGAATTTTTAAATACTGATACAAACAACTAATTTTATTTTTCAACCATTATTTTTCGGAAACTTAATAGAAGTTTTAATTGTTTAAGTCGTTTTCGAGAATGCAATTACATACGATACACACACGTAACAATTGCGTATAACATTTCGTTCGCGTATAATCGTCTCATTAGAAGAACTTTTTAAGTATTTATTTTACATTTCTTTGATATAAACAAACGTATAAAACAACAAGATTATTTAGTTCTGTGACCTCGTTGTACATATATATGTAGATGATTTTTTGTAAGTATATAAAGATTATGTTCGTGTTCTGATGTATTATACATATAAATATAATTTTTTTTTTGAAAAACGACTTATGAACAATGTTTTCTTTTAAACATACTTTAATAATATCTTTTTGATTTCAGGTGCGTTAATTTCTTTTCTTTGTAATTTGTTTGCTTATATCTTTTTTATTTGTCATATATTTTCTTCAATCCACTTCCATGTCTGTCGCCATTTTTCTTTTCTAATTTAGTTGCAGCAAGTTGTCTTTTCTTGTCCGTTCAATGTTTATCAACTGACTTATTTCTTTGTTTTGTCCGAATTTCATATGAAAATTAACAATTTAAAATTCCGAAAAATCAATAAAAATCACACCATCTGGTGGGCGAATCAAACTCTTTCTTTTTCTTTTCAATCAGTTAAAATTTCTCGTTTTCTTCACGATATTTATCGACATACGATTTTATCTCTTTAGGCTTCCTAAGTCAATCGTTTTTTCTTCCTCTTTCCCAAAACCCAAACATAAATTTCTTAAAGTCAATTGCTTTCGTACGAGTGAGATTAACAATTGCACTTTGTATTTTTGCAGGCTTGTATCCATCACAAATGTTACAAGGTAGAAGCAAATGTTGCAGAAGTTACGACATGTTGTATGCTGTAATCCTACATATTGGTTAACATTGCCTAATTTAACTCTACATTGAAAAATAAATTGTGCATAATTTTGTCAAATTTCTTTTTCTTCACAATACACTCTAGTTTTTATTTTATTTTTATACATTTTTGGACTAATAGTTCACTTTCTAACAGCTGTTTATCATTTCCTTTTACAGCTGTTTTTCTCCAAGCGCAACTGTAAAAGAGAGATTTGTAGTAACTTTGATTAAGCCCGGTCGTTTTAAGAAATAACACAAGCTTTCTCAATTTAAAAATTAGCATAAAAATTATTTACTTGCACACTTTTTTTACAATTAAGTGACAAATTTCTTTCTAATTTATTTCTTTAAATTTTGTATAAATTTGACTCATTTCATTTCGGAAAAGTTATGCAAAATATATGAGTAGAGTAAGCATATAATCAATTTTCTAAAATTTCCTTTTTTTCTTTTTTTTCCAATTAGTTACATATTCGTCCACTACTCCATTACTAGTTGTTTGTTTGTGTAATTATCAAAGAAAACCAGCTGTTATTTTTCGGATTTTGACAGCCACAATTATATATAAACAAAAATATGCCGCCGACATCAGCTTTGGTCGGAGTTTTGAGCAACCAACGCTACAAAAAGTCAACGGACAAATAATGAATAAAAAGTTACCATCAACGGAGAGGACATGTTTTTGTTTTCATATGGTCTTTGTCTTTTGAAATATATTTCTAAAATAAATACGTGGCTATAGTAACCAAAACGCTTTAATTAGTAAATATTTAGAATATACTTACGAAACCAAATGCCAGGCCACCAATTATCAGAAGCGGGATTTTCTAGATTGCCTAAATAGACATAACAATATGGTGGGTGGTGGTGGAAGTAGCAGCGGTAAAGTTCCTCAACAAAGGCAACCGTATTCTATTATTTAAGAAAATAACCGATTTTGGAAAAAATGTCGGATGACCATACCAAAAAGCCCACAGTCATCGGGAAGCAAGCTTTCATCAATAAATTAACCAACGCTGATCTGATGGTGAGACGATGCAAATGCATCAAACATATGGCAGAAATAGATGTGGCTAGAAGTAAGTCTCTAACTCTCGGAAAAACCACGTTTTCATGTAGGGGTGCAACGACACGTATTGAAGCTGGCAATAACCCTTAACACAACTTTTGATTTACAATATGAGCGCCATCGTTAACATACTACCCGAAATTAACCCACGTGGAATGAAAAACACTCAACGTTACACAGTTCGTTAACCGCATTAATAGACTTTGTAAAGCATATCTCTTGGTTGATAACATACTTGCGATTCAGAAAGAAAGGAAAAGGCCTGCAAAATATTGGAAACAGTCAATGGAAGAAAACGTCCCGATCACAACTTGTCGCAGCGTTTTTAAATTCTTTCTTGGATAGAAAAAGTAGGAAACATCCATGTTAAGATATAGCAGCCGAAGACACCCCATCTTGGGACCCCACAGGAATGTTTCTACAAAATGGTGTCTTACGGAAAGCGACGACGTCTACCCGAAAGCGAGATTTTCCGACACATTATAAATGCCATTACTGAATTTGAGCTGAAAATGACAAATTCAAATGAATGCTATTTCTGGAGTGAACTCCAACGAGATATTACTGTGTGTATGAGGAAATAAAAGAGTAAATAAGTAGCAGATCAAAATATGATCTTTCGCCAATTACATCGAGCGACCACAAGAATTGAGCTATCGGATCAGCCAAAAAAGACCTGTAAATTCTTACAATTGTTCTCAAACTGATCATATATCCATAAATTCCACGCACCCGTAACACAAAGGGCGGTATGCCGTAGGTAATGCAGCAAGTTATATGAGCAATAATTGCATCAAAAAATGTCAAGACGAGACACTTTGTGCCTTAGCATATTAATTGTGAATGATCAAAGAAACCACAAAAAGATGTTGTTACAACTGTTAAAATTGATGAGTTTTTCACAAATTTTGTTTAAACCCGGTAGTAATATGAAATCTCATTCGTAGTATGTGAGGAAGTCGTTGCTAAGTAATCTGGTAAGAATTCTAACAAAGATATTAATGGAAATATCTTTAAATTGGAGCAAGGATTTACTGAAGTATTGTAGATTTTGTCTTCCAGTCCAACGAGTACTGACGTGATCCTAATGATGAAGATAACTTTGCCACACTACACCATTATCCTTAGGTAAGGATAGCAGCCAAAACTAAGACCACTTACAAATATCACATCCGAAGCCGATAACTTTCCGAAAAATGCATAGTCGCCACTTGTACTTCGCAATAAGAGAAAGGAACGACACCATATTGCCATAGAAATCGCAGAAGAAAAGAAGAAGAGTTTTGATGAATGGCATTGCCAGTCGACGGTATTTGACATGAGGCATCAACAGCGGAAGAGCTTCGTAGATAGATTGTCATCACGATCTGTGGAAAAGATCGCTATATCGGGGAAGATATCCCTAATGCGCAACTGGCATTCGGAAAAAGTCTGTTCTGCATTCTCATTCATAGAAATGAACCCATGGTGCAGGGGTATCCCGAAGTTACATGCTGATTTTGATGAAACGGTCGAGGACGAACCTATGTCAGAATTCGTCGAAATATCAAGTGAGCCTTCAAACATAATGTGTTGCATTCTTAATCAGATGAGAAGGATTTATCAACAATGAACCCTAAGAGAAACGAACGGATAAAGAATGAGTGCAAGGTTAACATTAACGGGGACAACACATTTTTGTTTTCATATAGTTCGTCTTATTAAATATCTTAACTTGCCAGTTTCTCTGTTTCTTCTTGTAAAATGTATACGTGCCCACAGCAATCAAAATCGTTTAAATTAACAAATGCTCAGAAGCGAAAAACCTGCCACATGTTAAATAAATATAGAAAGTTTTTTTTAAGAATCGTTTGGAAAATTCCATAAAATATATTTAAATATATGTACATAGAAATAAGAAATATTGAATAAAGGTAATTTAATTATTTCGAAAATAGTGGCGTTTTTGCAGCCCTTTGTATAAAATTCAGATAAAGATTGAGAATAACAAGATTTCAGAACTTGGAACTTAGCTTCAGTTCAGTTCAGTTAGCAAATCGTATGACATGTTCAATTTCAACAAAACAATCGTAACGAAAATAAAACAATGGAGTACATTATAGTCGAGCTAGACTGACTATTGAATGTCCTACACCACATTGTCACACACAATTCTTACGGTTGCCATGGAACCCAAAAATTATACCATGTTTTTGTATAAGCTCACTATTATGGAACTGTATTTGCAAAATTAGACCTCTTTGAAAATAAAGACTTACTTTCCGTAAAATTTGTTGTGCCTAATAGGCTCAAAAATTTAGTTATATATTCAAAATTCAGCACAGTTAATTTTTGTACGAATTACCATTATGCGATAATTTTCTAAATAACATATTGAAACTTAGACTTCCCTGCCCTACAAAGGACCAAGTTTCATGAAAATATAATATGGAAAAAATTATATAAGGTAGGAGCCAGAAAATAGGGCGAGATAACCTAAATTTGGTACAGTTAATTTTTCTATTTTGAATTGATATTACCATTATGATCTGATTTTCATCATAACGCATTGAAAATTAGACCTTTTTGTCATATGAACTGCAATATTTGTTATATGAGAGGGGGTTCAAAAAATCAAGGTTCTCTTTAACTCCATCACTTCTAATAAATTCCCCGTAACCTCAGGTGTGCCTCAAGGTAGGCGTTTGGACCCCTTTCTGTTCACCTTGTACATCGGTGATCATGGTGCTTTCTACATCTTATCAAACTGGAAGAAAGCTTCTATTCTCGAGGAGCGCTCTATTCACTGCTGATTTATATACAAAAGTTGGAAAATGTATATTCGTTCATGAAGCTAGGCATTTTATTTGACCATAAGCTTCGTTTTAATTTGCACATCGACCTCTCCGTAAATAAAGGTATGTCAATAGGCTTGATTCTATTCAACGGCGATCTAAGGAGCTTGACAACCCTTACGTTACAAGAGGTCATATATGAACTTAATGGGACCAATACTTTAATATGCGTCTGTTGTGTGCTACCTTTCCTATAAGCACAATATAGATTTAAAAGAATCCGTTCAAAACCAATTTTGCTCTTTATCATTAGGAATTCGGGCCGCGGCCCGCTTCTCTGCTTGCCTCTTTACAAAAATAGATTGGTTTCGCTGCCCTTGCCGTCACTTCAAAAACGTAGATTTAACTCTGATGCTTCGTTTTTAATTAAGTCAATAAATGTTGTCCATTCACCGACGTTAGTTGGAAAGATAAACTTCAATGCCCCGAATCGTTTCTCTAGGAACTATCCTTTCTTAAAGTTGAGCCATTGTCGATATAATTACAAGCTGTTCCAATTCTTTTACAGACCTTTGCAAAACTCCAAGTAGTATCTACAGTTTAATCCCAATGCCCCGAATCGTTTCTCTAGGAACTTTACTTTCTTAAAGTTGAGACATTGTCGATATAATTACGAGCTGTTCCAATTCTTTTGCAAAAATCCAAGTACTATCTATAGTTTAATCCCAATGTCGGATTCACTAAAAAGTATTAAATCAACTCTCCTAAATACGCGCGCTCTCCTATGTTTTCTCTGGATTAGCTTCTAATCTCGAGAACTTCATAGGATTCGAAAATTCAACTACATTTTTTCACTAATATTGATATTCAAGTTTTTGCATGTTTGTTACGGTTTGGGGATTCATCTCTAATAAGGATTTGTGTCAGTTATGGGTGTGCCTCCATGCTAGATATGTACATGTTTTTATCTGTGTTTACTTTTGCATGAATATTGTTCTTTTTATTTTCTTATTTTTGCTTTATTTTTCTTTAAATACTGTTTAATCATTATTGATAACACTTTATTTCTAAGAAGCAGTTAAATTCAGCTGTTAGTTTATATTAGTTGAATTTCACGTGTAAATAAAATAAAAACACGTGTTAAAAGAAAAAAATTCTCTTTCCACACGAACTGTTTTGTTTGGACACAATTTTCAATATGGAGTGTATTTTTTTTTCAATTTTTTGAATGAATTTTTTGAATGAATTTTTCTTCTAGAGGTCTCTGTGAATTTTTTCATTCTCACTTCTCAAAAGTATGCATTGTAGCTTTGCGCTATATTTGTCACAATTTAGTTAGATTATGTCGATCATATGCGTACGTGGTTGGAATTCCCAGAATTATGCGTAGAGCAAAGACGTAATGTATATTTTACGCATTTAGTTTGGTTTTTCAAAGTATAACTTATTTTCGTGTAACATATTTAATGAAGTAAAATGTCTAAGCACGAAGTAAATTCTTAAGCGAACTCTAACAAGAATTTTTTGATAATTATACTTTTTAGTTGCTTTTTTAAGTCTGGAAATAATCTACTATTTTTTCATTCAGCCATTAAATGTCAATTTGAAATAAGGAATATTAACCAATGCGTACATTTCTAGAAACAATGTATCCTAATTTTTCTTTAGGCTCGTTCATTGAAGATGAGAACAGGGACAATTGCGACACACAAGAAATGGTCACCATGAGACTAGGGCGAACGGCTTTGCGGGATGCTTCCGACCACTAGCGTTACCTCAAAACGAGTAAATAGATTGTTTCTAATATTTCCAAAGGGCATATGATATGTTGCTACATATAGATTTATGCAGAAGTTCCTAATTTCCAAAGCGGCTTTTCATTATGTCCTGGGGAAAATGATATGAGTGGAGATATTAGGAGCACATATATACTGCCTGCGTTACGGCTAGCCATGACTCTACAGTTGTCGGTTTCAGGAGGATAGCAATGGCTGACGTGTAACGACCATACCGTAAGTATAGCACAAAGCACGTTATTAACTGTTTTATCAGAGGTGTTACAAGAGTTGAAAACGAAACTGCGGTGTGAATGCAATGGATCATAAATAGGAATGCGAAGGTGTGCCACCGGAAATTCTAGGGAGTAATTGAAGATTTTGTAGCATTAACATGTGTGGAGGCACTCCGTTACATGGAAAGCCAATCGGCTGGGCATGATAGCAATGTTTTGCTGCTTGGTAAGCGATAAAAAGAAAATTAAGGGGCCAAAATTTTGGTTTGATTTGGTTTTTATTTGCACGATTGGTAAACTTTAAAAAAGCATGCTCTCGAGCTAACAATTTCAAATTTTTGCAGGAAAGGCCATTAGCATAAATTCCTCTAAGGAATGGCTTCGTTCGCAACAACCGTCCGATATAATTTCATCAAAAACTATTTTCTTAATACCTAATTTACGTTTATTTATATAATAGTCTGCCACATAGTTTCTTTTGGTATCGGCATATTTGCACACATCCCCGTGTTGCATGAACTTTTGGATAAACTTGCTAAAGTAGTATCCCTCTTGATCTAGCGCGGTAAACATTTTTCACAGCGTAATCTTCAAGGTATTTACATATATGTCATTCAAATACTCTATGTCCCTCCTTTGGTTGTTTTACTATGGACTTTAGATATCAGTTAACAATATTACTTTGACTACGACCCAATAGCTACGAAATTTATGTGAAATGGCCTCTCGTCTAGTTTTCAACTTTACACTTGTTTCTTTTGATAATTAACCATAGCAGGTTTATATTATATATGTATATAATACTCATTTGGCACATTTCGTTAATAATAATAATGGCAAGAAAGTTCAACGTTTTCATTATTTTATAATCGTCCAATCATAAAAACATTCAACGTATTTGAAACTTAAACTACTCACTTTTTATCCTTGTTTTTTGTGCGTAAACTATTATTATATTTAAATACAAGTAAATACTTCTGTTTTAGTTCAACCTCCTTGTTATTCCAATTAATAAATGTTTTAGATATTATCATCATACACTACTTTTGGAAGCGCACAAGTATTATTTGTTACAATACGAATTATTCGTTCTTCTCTTTGTTTATTTCAGCAACCACCTAGAGGATGTTGCATGCACTTATGCGCTTCACTTGAGATTATGTTATTTTTTTTCTTCTACACCGACTTATATTACTACCTCCTGTCATGCGCAAGTAACGTTATAATTATTTTGTTATTGTCACGCATTACAGCCCACTTCGTAATAAATCGTCATAAAGGTTGATATTTGAAATATTAATGACAGTAGTCGTGATTGTATCTCTCGTACATTTTTGAAATCATGTGATGAGTGCCATTCGTATGTGTTCCAAAATTTATTTATCCTAACATAAAAGATGAGTGAAGGTATTCCCTTTTTCTGTGATTTTTTATTATTATTATTATTATTATTATTATTATTATTATTATTATTACTATATCAGTTACAGAAACATGTTAAACATTGTTTTTGTCCTTTTTGTTAGATATTATTTGGATGATAAACAAAGAAAAAGCTTTTTTATGAATTATTATTTTTAATTTTATTATGGTGAAAATCTGAAAAGAAAAACAACACGATTTTATTTCTAATAAAAAAATGAACTTAAGCTTAGAACATTCTAATGAAACGAGCAAAAATGATTAGATAAATTGCTACGTAAACAAAAACTTAATACACTAAATTATGTAAATAATAGTATTAATAATTATTAATCTTACTTATATATACTTACATCGTATAAACAAGGTTAACTACAGTCGACATAAAATCAATATACTAAGAATAATGAAAACAAAAGAAATGAGAAACTCCTTAACTTTGCTTCGCCGCGAGCGCGTTCATTATTCAATATAAATACAAAAGTTTCTATGTTATTATCGTTACTTTATAATTAATGTTACTTTGTTACATGGAAAAATTAGTCATTAAAAGTTGTTTATAAGTATGAAAAATTTCAAAATTTTTTAAGCTATTCATTTTATTTATTTTTTCTTTTTATACACACACACACATATATATATATATATATATATATATATATATATATATATATATAGCTATATATATATATATATATATATATATATCTACATATATAAGTATATATAATATATATACATACTTATATATATACTTATTTATTGGATGCAGATGTGTATATTTTATATTTCTTTATAAACTAAATAACTGAAATTTTTATTTTTACAATTTATTATTTTTCATGTGCCTTCTCTTCTCGTGCTTTTCATTAATTTAGGCTTAAAACTTAAGACAAAAATATTAACTAAACTTTCTTACAATTTTTTTTTACAGTTTGTTTTTCATATACTTATACACTTTTTTCTTCTGATTAAATAAAGATACAAAATCGTATGCAAACTTTTCAAACTGAAACTGTATATTAATTATTATATGTGTGGCGTACACGGGTGTTTTTCTGTTTGCTGATCTGTTTGTTTCTTTGCGTGTGTGCATCTGCGTCCGTTTCTATTTATTGATGAGGATGTGTGTAAGAGTACGAACATTGCACTAATTATTTTGTTGCTGTTATTATATTCAACTTATATAACAATACATTTGTGAATATATTTATAGTTTTTACAGTATATTTATAACTATAGTGTTGCGCAAAATACTTAAAATCTTTATATTATTGAAAGTTTTATTATTTTTTTTAGTAACGGAAACTAATACGTTTATTATTTTATTGTGTATGTACGGATACATTAATTTTCTGACGTATTCACCTTCTTTTATCTTTTCATTCTTAAAATTTTTTTATATCTCTTTTAATATTTTTTATTTATTCTTTTTTTTTTTTTTTTGCTATTTGTATTTTAATTTTATTAGCTTTCCTTGATAGTTTATGAAAAGCTGTTATAATTTAATTTTCTTCTTATTTATTTTTACATGTTGTTATATATAGTGTGTTTATATAAATATATTTCAAGTCTTAGCGTTTGTTTTACTTAAATATTTCTTTGCTATAATAAAAAAAAATTTCTTTATATAGTATATTCAATATATTTTACACACTATGTGAAATGGTGAGAAAAATGTACCGTTTATTTATTCGTTTCCTTCTAGGTATTTAAAAGGAAAAGCTTGCAATACGCGAACAATTTTATTTTTAAGCAACCTAAGAAGTTGGATAAGTAAAATTATCTATGTATATATATATATGTATATATATATATATATATATATATATATATATAGATATGCATATATATATATAGATAATTTCTTGTTGTAAACAGCCAACAATTGATTTCTAAACATATATTTCACAATTTTTTTTATTAGTGGTTATGCTTACATAACACCTAACAAATCTTTTCTACTCGCTTTTTTTTAGTGTTTAGATCCATTCTCATATTGACGTAATAATCTCTAGCATTTCAGCAGTATGTTTTGGAATCGTTTGTGCTTGGAAAGAATATAGAAAAATCGGCATCGTACATATTTATACTTGTGGAAGAGAAGCGAATTTTAAACGATTCACCTAAAATTAAGTGTTATCAAAGAACATTCCAGTTTAGATTACGTAAAAAGCTGTAATATATAAAACGCGTTGAATTAGGAGGAACACTGTGTAGAACCATGCGGAACAAGAAGAAACTGTTCATCAAATAAATTTTTGCTCATTATGGTGGTTTTTCCGATCTTTTTAAGCCGTCAATAATTTATGATACTTATTGCAATTCAACGAAAATACAACTTTGTTGAGCATACTTACACGCATATATACATATATATATATATATATACATCTATGTGCATATGTGTATATGTACAAATGACAAGTGTACAAATATATACATTTATGTATATGTATATATATATATATATATATATATATATATATACATCTATGTGCATATGTGTATATGTACAAATGACAAGTGTACAAATATATACATTTATGTATATGTATATATATATATATATATACATATCTATGTGCATATATGCATATGTACAAATGAAAGTATATGTACGTATGTATAGCGTAAATTTTCCTTCTTTGTTATTATTATTAGCTCTTTTTCTTCTAACAAATATTTATGTGTAAATATATTTTTATGCATGTTTATATAATAAATTTTATAAAATTTAATTTTATGTATTTTCTTTTAGTTTAAATTATCGTAAGTGGTGTGCAATTTGCGGTAATTAATGTTTAATTAATGGTGGATAAAGAGTGCGCGAGAAAATGTGGCAAGCACAACGCAGATGGTTGAAAACATTTGTGACCATCCCGAAACGCATACGAACATACTTTTTTATTTTCTCTCTATATTTTCTTCTTTTACTTTATATTCTCATACGAAATGCTTGTAATGTGAATTTGTCATTTACTTTGTTTTTGCGAACATGTACTTAATTTACTTTTAACTTAAGCTTAAAAAAAAAGTTTTATTACTCAGTCCACACCTGTCATCCCCTTCTATAATCGGTATTAACAATCTCTTCGAGCTAAAAATAGGAATTGTTACTTTTGAGGTTGCTGCTGTTGGTTTTCACATTACCCTTACTATAATGCTGCTGCAATTGGATGCGCGGGTTTTCATTCCCGAGCTTGTATTTACAAGCGTTATAGTGTTGTTGAACGTGCAGTGAAGGCAATATTGATAGCTGTGGGTAATGATGATGTTTAAGATTCGGTATTTCCTCCGAAAGGGGCTGTTTATATTGAAAGTGGTAGGGGGTGATTGGGGAGTGTGCTTGTTGTTGCGCTTGATACCACTGCGTCTGCTGCTGTTGCTGCTGCTGCCCTGGTTGTTGACGACATCGAGTCGCTATCGCAGACGCATTCAGTCACAACTAATCTTCGTCACTTAAAGCTTCGTATTGAGCCGATAATAAAGGTTTGGGTTCAGTTGTCGTCGAAGAAGTTGTCATACTGGTTTGAAGATTGGCACCAGAACTAGACGCAGTATTCACAGTTGTATTGGCACCGCCATCCGATCCTCCCGCAAGTACGTGGTTTAATTGCTTTTGGGAGGATGATATTGAGGTAGGCGGCATTTGATGAGTTGTATTTAAATTTATTTGTTGCGGTGCTTGAAGACTAGCAACTGAACTTGGTACATTTAGAGCACTGTAAGGGTACGCGTATGTTGTTGCTGCAAAAGTTGTGACCGGAGACGGCTGATACGAACTCGTTATAGACGTTTGACTGTGTGCAGAATCATTACCTGATGAGGAGGACCGTCTACCATTGTCTCTTTCTTCGTACTGATTAGGGGTTTTGCGAGCCAATGGTTCGTGCTGTTCCTTATTCCGGTGGTCATTATGACGATCATCATTGGCACCTCCACTAGATGCTCTATGATCATCTTCAGTGCGCATTACTTCCACAATGCGATTTTGTACATATTTCATAGTGTCAAAAGCATGGTTTTGCACCACCGAGGAACCAGTTGGACCAACACCAGAAGTAGTTTGTACATTGCTGTTGGTGTCGTACGGTCCACCAGCCAAACGCATCGTTGAACTGCCATGTGAATTTGCTGTTGGCGGTCCGTGCTGCTGATAATGATAATCGTGGGCTGCTGCTGCCTGTTGAATCATAAAATCTTGCATATATTTCCTCGGACTTACAGCTTGAGGCATTCGAATAATATTTCGTTCATCGCCGGGTGTATTTGATCGCCCTCCCATGCTTGAAGGGTTTGCTGCACTGTTGGAACTCGATGTTGGTTGAGAATTTGTACTTCCTTTAGCAGCTGCTTCAACTTCTTTCTGCACACGCCTGTTAAATTTCCAACGATCTGGTGTTACAATGTTCTGAGGATCTTGCATGTAGGGTATAAAATTTGATGGTAGAGGTCCCCTTAAATGCACTGGATTAGGTCCATAGTCATTCGATATTATTGTATCCGTCAATTCACCAAAAGTTATGTTTTTGGTACGCATTTGGGGTGGTTGCTGAGAAGATGAAGCTACTTGAGAGTTTGTGGACAATGAGCTTCCACTACTACTGCGTCCTCCACGAGAACTTGGAGAGGGTGAGGGCTCATGCTGATTTCCAGTCGGTGTTGACGAGGAGCCCACGGCACGATCGTTATCCAAGTCTATGTTAATAATATTAGGAGACGAAGATTTACCATTATTTTCGGCAGCTGCTAAACTGGCAAGTGTAGCGTTCGATGCATGCTGGCGTGACGGACCAATATCACGTGAATTATACTGCTAAAAATGTATACATCATAATGTAAAATCATAAATTACTTGGAATTAAACTTACGAATGATGATCGTGTTAAATCTCTACTTATGCTTATCGCCCCCGGTTCGGAGCTGCCTTGACTAATTTGATGTTTGATAATGGCATCAATTAAAGTCTGGGCGGACAATGTGCCCTCTGAGGGTGGTTGGCCAGGATGGGTTCTATGATATCTGCGCATGTAAAGGTACATACACAAGTACAGTCACGAAGTTAAATATAGATTACGTTTATTGACCAGTGGACGATTAATGACGATGGCAAAAAGTAATACAGATTTGGTAAAAACGAGAATGAAAAAAAAGTAGGAAGGAGAAAAACTTTTTATGTCTCATCGAATGGTTATGATACATTATTACATGTTATAAACGATACTTACAGATCTCTTTCTCTATCGGAAATAGACCGTGGAGGTCCAGCTTCACTTGGTGGTCCCCGAATATAATGCTGACTTCCAGTAGCAGCCGATGTCGTTGCATTGCCAGCATAGATACGTTCCATTCGCCGCCCATCACGTTCACGATCTTCCGCAGCTAGTTCCTGTTCACGTCTTTCACGATTTCTCTCACGTTGTTCTCTCTCTCGTTCTCGCTGTTCCCGTTCTCGGTCTAAACGCTCAACGTGCATTCTTTCAATACGCTCTCGTTCCTGGCGTTTTTGTTGCAAATCTCGATCTCTTTCTAAGGCTGCGTTATGCATGCGTTGATCACGTTTCGCTTGTTCTAAACGTCGTTGCATGTCTACTGCATTCGCCGCATGATGTTGTCGATACTGCTGCTGTTGTGCAGCAACTACAGCTTGCTGCTGTTGAGCAACAACAGCTGCGGCAGCCGCATGTTGTTGATGATGGTGTTGCAATTGCAGAGCAGCCATATGGTCACGATTCATTTGGTATCGAATGGCGTCATGATGAGATGGCAGCGGTTGTTGTTGCGTAGACGCAGAAGGTGACGGCGCGGTCGCTGAAGTGGATGATAATTTTTCGTCTTTTGGCGAAGGCACTGGTAGCTGAGGTTGCTGTACCGCCACATCAACGAATGAACTGAAAGCGTCATGTCCAGCTAAATAAGCAAAATGTTATTCGAATTTTATTTTCATATTTTGTGATCTTTTTTGTGTTTTTTACCGAACTCACCTGGAGGATAATTGTGGGGCATTACAACGTGCATGCGACTTTGTGGTGGTGCTGCAGGCGATGGAGGTTTCGAGCCCCCCGTGTTGTGCCGTTGAATAACGCCTTGACGTGGGGGTGGTGGCGTACGATGAGGGCTAGGAGTGCTTAAAAATTTACGTAAAAATATGATTGTAAGTTTTACGGAGTCAATTTTAATAAGTGTTACCTATTTGCATGGTCCGCTGGTGAAGCCCTACTTGAATACTCTGTTCGACCTCTTTCTTTATCGTAGTAAACTAAACCAGACCCACTATTTCTAGAAGAAGGAGATTCTTTGCCGGAATTACCAACACTTGCTGAGCTGGCGCTACCACTGCGCGGAATACTACGCTGTTGTTGGCCTTGCATTTGCTGGGATGTTATATAATCATGCATAACAATTTGTCGGGTGCTAAGCACTGGAGATGGCTGTTCTACGGTGTAAGGAGGTCTGGAATACGGACCCACTGCGTAAGCATTTTGTTGAGATGCTTGGGGAGGGGGTTGTTGCTGCTGTTGAGCAGGGCTCTGACGCTGGCTAGATTTGAAACTATATTCGTAGGCCCTTTTATTGTCCATGTGATGAGTAGGGAGGTGTATAGGTGTTCCCTGGGTTATTGAACCCACCTTGTTACTTTCAGCACCAATAGAGTTAGAGGAAGGTGGAGTTTGACGCAATAAGTTGTCAAATTTAGGGCTAAGAGTAGCACCTGTCTGCGCAGGGTGCACAATTATTTGCTGAGTGGCGTTATTAACTGGAGTTCCGTGTGTTATGGAACCTTTTGGCCCAACCAATAGCTGTTGCTGTGGCTGTGAGGGCGAAGGTGCTTGGCTGTGCGATGGTGGAGGCGGCGGGTGTATTATTTGTGGACTTAACTTAGAAGGAATTTTGTTCGCCCCACTAATATTCTTACCGTGTTGCGCAGTCAGCTGCAAATGTGATGTCTGTCCTTGTGGGGATTGAGTTTGAGTTGACTGGCCTCTATTTCCATTGTTAGTAGCGGAACCACCGGATGTTTGTGTTATAGACATAGGAACAGGTACTTGCGACACATAAAGAGAACCCGGGGGTGGTACCTTACCCACTCCAACACTAGTGGAGTGTGTATGATAGAGAAAAGTATGATTGGGTGGGGCGCCAATTAGCTGAGTAGACTCTGAGCCGCGATAAATGGCAGCTACATTATTAACATGTTTTCCAGACCCGTTTGATGCCATTTGTTGATGCCGTGACGTTACTGGCTCAACGGCCGAACAAGAGAGACTAACTGATGATCCAGAAGAAGAGGTATGGGGGGAATTTCCATCGCGTGATGGTTTTTTTATCGACAAATCCAAGGTCTGTGGTTCCGGCTCATTGTTACGTGAAAGTTGAGTGCTGGCATAAATAATTGTTTCAGGTGGTGGCACATGTGGCGGAGTCGGGGTTTTTCCACTTTTTATCATTGGAGTAATCGTTGCTTTAATGTCATGCTGCTGGTGATGCATTATATTATGCGATGTTGGCTGTAAATGCTGACTTGGTACGTACGAGTTCACTACAGAGAGAGTAGCCAAGTTTTCAAGTTGTCCACCCGACACTGAAACGTTTGTTCTTAGGGTTGGCGTTTGCTGCTGGGGTTGTCGAATGTTAATATTCTGCATGGAATTGTTGGTAGTAACAGTACTGCTTAACAAAGGTTGACCGTGGGCTTGTTGCTGTGGCTTAATGGAACCATCATTTCGATATTCCCGAACTATTGTCACATCATTGTTGCTATTGGAATTGTTGCTGCTGCTACTGCTGATTGCATCACTATTACTTCTACCTGACTCTGCTGAGAGTTGCAAGGGTTTAGTTACACTAATCGTTGTCGATTGTGATGGCATTTTCGATGGAGGTGGACCTTTTTGCTTGAGCGACCGTTCGATGACTGTATACAAAAAGTCTTGCAAGTCTCCCGAAGTTACATCGTGACGTTGACTTTGAATCGGAGTGGACATTGGTCCATTTGTTGAGACAGGCGGTGGTCCCAAACCACTGCCAGCATTTACTACAGCAGCATTAGTGTTGCTGCTGTTTAGTATTACTTTAGGGCTGTGCCGATTGGCAGGGGAGTTCTCATTTTCTTCGTCAGCTGTTTCTGTAGCTGATGAGTCATATTCTTCCGACGTTTTTTGCTTTTTAGGCGCATGTCCAAGGGGCGGTAACAAACGTTCATCAGACTTTGTTATTGCAACATTGGATGTGCTGTTGCCTGTAGGTGTTGCAATCGTATCCGGCAGAGAAGGCGTGCCACTTACTAAACTCACAACCGGTGTTACTGAAACCATTTGTGACGGTTTTGGTACGGTATCTTTTATGAGGGTATTATGACGTTGACGATTTTTTGGGCTTTCAACAGATGCAGTATCACTTCCGCTTGCATCGCGTTCATCGCAGGAAGAAGTACTTACATCCGATTCATCGCCGTCAGTATGTCGTTCTTCATCAGTTAGATTGATGTGGGGATCTAATTTACGACGAATACGCATTAAGCAGGCCGAACAGCATCGTGTCGCTTGCAGAGGAATCTGGAATTCCTTTATGATGGGATCTCGTACCTCCGCTCCTAGGTCATAAAGTCGCGCTGGGATATTACGCAACCGCTTAGCTCGGTCTTTTGGATTGGGGCATGTGGGTAGAGGACAATTGGGGCAGCGGGCTCGCACTGATTTGCATTGACACGTATTGCATACACGCGCCCCAGTTGGTATAGTTTCATCCAAAATATCATACTGTTGACCGCGACCCCTTTTAAGTGGTCTAGTGCGAAGGCAGTTGTCAGCTTTACAAATAAAACATGTTGCCAGTTTGTCTAGAAATATTAAAAAATAAAAATATTTCTATACATAATCGCATTGATAAATTAAAGCACACCGCATAACATAAGGCTTATTAAACTTGGACTATGAAAAGCCTTAAAAATTCTAAGACATGGTTACTCAAATTGAGCACATGGTCGCCTTATTACACATTTTCTTCATTCAACGTTTTTTTGCAACTTTACGGAAGGTAATTGTGAAACGGTTGGGGAAAATTTCAAAAACATTTACGTTTAACTATACTGTAGTAATTATTAAATTACTCGCACATTTTCATACAGACTCTTTCAGGCAGGTTTCTGGAAACTCATGCAGACGACGGCCTTCATATCGTCATCGCGCTCGTCACATAGAAATAAGAAAGTACGGAACAATGTACTCACGAAAATCTTTTGTTACTGCAGCTGAATATGAATACCCACTTTGTTATTTTTCCATTTTTATCCCAAGTGCTGCAGGATTGCAAGGCGTGTCTTGCATGTGGTTGACGCTTTTTATTATTTTAATGAATAATCGCCAAGGATTTTTCGATTAAAAAAAAAATTAAGAAACGCTGCAAGTTGCAATCGCGTCGGGAAGAAAATTAAGAAGCTACGATCATTTTGCACAGCCGCCGTCTCCCAAAAAATTATTCATCACGAATAAATAGAATTATATATTGACATAAATATTTCCGTAATTTCAGCAAATACATTACCTAACGTAAGTTACTTAAATGAGTAATTACCGATTCTTTTTGAATGAAATATGTTCTCATATCAATTGCATAACGCAAATTTCATAATTGATCAATATATTTTCATTTAAATAAAATCGATGAACGATTTGAAAATTTATTTGATTATAAATTAAAGCTAACCAATTGATGAATTAGCCAATTACCTGAACAAGATTGGCTTCTAGGTAAACATAACTTTCTTTACTTCCCTGAAATATATATTCGCTCGAAATTAATTACATTTGCTTTATGGTCACAATGGTATGGCTTAAATAAAAATTTGACCTGTGTTTATATGTAGTTGAATTTTTCTTCTGTCACTCGCTTGTTTACTTATTCATTGTTATTTCAATTTCTTGCAATTATCACATATTTTCTTGCTTGTCTGTTTAACTTTGTCTCTAAGTACACGTAGTTTAGCGTAAATTTCTTCTGTATGCATTTGCATATCATTAAAATAATATAAAGCCCCATTCAGCAAACTTTATAGTAAAGAAATAATATTTAACTGTGGTCGAAATTCTGTGCACACATATTCATTTTAAACACATCAACAAAAAATGTTCAGTGTAATACTCTTAAATCTTTACCGGAGAAATTGCACAGAAGGGCATGCTTGGCGCGATTCATGTTCTAAAAACGTTGAAAAATAAATACATACCGATCTTTTGATGGTAACTACAAAAAGAGAATCTTTTTGAATTCATATTTTACGTTATATGGTTTAATGCAATAAATAGATCTATTAAGTATATTGCGTGAGAAAATGCTTTAAGAATAATATACCTTTATTTCTTTTTCAAAAACACACTAAATCTATTACAAGCGATTGAAAATACTCAGTAGATTTTCAAAACCAAGCTTAGTTAATGTTCACAAAATATAATTCACTAAAATTTTTGCCATTAGAACTATAGTTCAAATAATAACAACTTCTACAGTTAAGGAATTTTTCGCAATAGAACAATACTGATATGCAAGAAACCAAAATGATTTACATTTCCGCTGGTAATAATCGAGACGCAAAACATTGCTAAAATAGACAGATGAAAAATGGTAAAGGCGTTCACATTTTACATTTTTATATAAATTTGTCTAATATCCTAATACACTATTTAGCATGAATTGTCTGTCTGGAATGAATTTTCCAATGTCGTAAGCAAAAATTAATTGAGTTTTGACAAAATATCGTTCAAGAATACAATTGCCAAATAATGTAAAATTTTCCGTATATTAATTTGTCATCTAATACCACTAAACTAAAATGAATTAATTAATTTACAACATCAGACGGTACATACGAAAATGATGAAGAGTTTTAACACTAGAACTACTAACGTTTTGCGTATGCCTATTTCCAAATGGGCAAATTCCACCCATAATCTTGGTCAAATTAACATTGGGTAATAGACATGCCTTGGTCGATTAAAAAGTCAGGTTTATGCTATGCTATCCTGCCGAACAACTATAGCAATGGGTATGTGGAAATCCGTGAATAATCAAAAATTCATACCTACATTAAATGGAGTAACTAAATTTTATCAATAAACAATATTTTTTTATCATTTTTATAGCAAATATCAGACGTAGGGAGTTACCTTCTTCGTTCTCAGAAGGCAGTTCCACAGACCTTATAAAATGATCAGTTTCAAATTCTGAATCGATCTAAGTATGCCTGTAAGCCTTTCTCTCCGTCTATCTGACGTAAATATTCGCCTAGAAGACATTGCCTTCAAATTTTGGGAAATTACGAAGGCAGGTTGGTATTAAAAATAGGTTAAATCGGTCCACATACACGCCTACAGTTGAAATCGCTTGTATTTTTGATAGGTAGAAAATCGAAGTTTTTTGTTTATTACTCAAAACTATAGCGGCAAAAGTTTCTACGTATATTCTGTTGTATAGTACCGGTAGCAAAATGAAAAAAAAAACCGTATAATATTAAACAATATAGAAATTTAAAACTTTTCGTTTTTTTAAGCTAAAGGTGTTGGATATTAAAGATTTGGCCATAATTGAATATAATCTTTATATTTACTTTTATTGTTTTTACGATTAATTGTTTACCTTGATATAAACCTGTTGTCATCCCAACTTGTTTTCATGTGTAATTCCGTCCCATATCTTACTAACGCTAGTATTCAATTTCACTCCAGTTTATGATTGGTAGAATAATGCAGATAGGTGGTAACGATTGTAACTTATTATGATTTGTTGTGTTTGCCGCGTTTTATATAGAACTAGTATAAAGAATTGGAGAAGAACGCTCAGAACTTATACAGAACTAGTATTTTTAACTAACTTAGATTCTTTTTAACAATGAACAAATGCAGAAAATGTTGGTGAAATTAAAAAGAAGAAAATGGATCGTAATGATGCTAGCTTTTAAAAATGACTGGAAAGTATCACAATAATGTAAGTAAATTATACAAATTAGATGTCCAAGGTAAAAGTTTGTTTGATTGGGCGATGCAAAGATGTCGAATTTATGATAGGTAGGCTAGGAGTCAATTTTGACTAGCATTTGTATTGGTCGGTGATCACACCAGTTATAATGACAATAATACTAATTGGCTCTCTCATTATAAATCGGCGGTGTAACAATACAAGCCATTCGAAGTGAATATATAGTAAGCCCAAACTTGTTCTTCTGAAAATCACTAAACGTCTTAAAATTGCCTGCACAGTTATTTGTATCTGTTACACACGATGCTGTTATTACGTAGACTAAAATATATTGTAGTGCTTTCAAATCTACACTTTTTTGAGGTACTCATGATTGAGTGGTTAGAGACTAGTAAATAAAACTAAGTAAAATGTTTTTATTTTATTTTAAAAAGAACAGTTAGTTGTTTTTACCTCTAACACATTATTAGTTTAATTTTCCCATTTTTTTTAAATAACTTTTCAACAAAAGTGTTCTGTGAAATCATTTGATGTTGAAATTTTACTTCGTATTACTGCATAATTATTATTAGTGGTGCTTTTGTCGTATTCTATATAGAGCTCGCAGTACAAATTAAGTTCTATATAGAATTGATTTAATTCAGTGTAGTTATGTAAATGTTGCCAGCTTTATGCTACTATGCCAATCGTAAAAAAGAAACATGTGCTATTTCACCTTTATGTTATGTATTTAAGAAAAGTTCAGAATACCTAAATGAAAGGTAAATGTTCCATTTTCGTTTCAATTTTCAGATATATTTTTAAAAAAAAATTCTTAATTAATATATAAAATAAAAAATTCTCAGAGTGAATCTGCTCGGTAAAATGAAATAATCTGCAAAATCTTTTCTCAAGTAACAAAAACACATTCTCTATTACTACTGTTACACGCGTTTCAGAATGTACAACGTTGAAATGTCGTTGCGCTATAGTCAAATTTCCAACCTTTTTGGAAAGTTTGCCCCATTTTGTTTTTTTAATTTTATATCCACCCAATTTTGTTTTATCACATATTTTACAAAAGTAAAACCAAGGGAAAATGCCAATTCTGGGCAATGATAGTATAAACATTTTTTTTTTTTTAAATTATATGTATGCTTAATGCATCCCCTTTAAACAACCTAAAAAAAAAAAGCATAAGCAAGTAATTTCAATAAATGCGAACAATGAATTTTATTATTTTCCAAGACGGCGCCATTAAATAGAGTGAGAAGTTTTATAGTGATTGATCCTTTTACATATAAATAATGACGCCAAGTATATATTGATGTATAGAAATATTCAAGTATTCTTTTGTTAGAAGGCAAAGATGTAATGATAGTTAGTTACGTAGCTTACTATCTCTCACAAATTTAAAATTTTTGCTTTATTTCTTTGTATACATAAAATAATTTTTTTTAGATTTTATTCTCCTTTTACAGGTGCTTTGTTTTATAAAGGCACCTCTGAACATTCAATTCTAAGTCAAATTTGTTAGAAACGATATCTATTTTGCTATCGACTCATTTGGCAGATATAAGAAAGGATATTTCACATTGTTGTGATATTTTTGTACGACCATAATAAAAAAAAAAAAAGTTAATGAAAAATAATGGGTGACGATGTAGTGCTCTGTGTCACCCAAACAGTGAAAGCGATGGTTACATTTTTTTACTTTATTTTATTATTATTATTATTATTATTAATTTAGCCAGAGAAATAAATTGTAAGACTTAAGTCTTAAAACACTACCATCTAAGGCTATCGGATTTAGTAAAAACTCTACCGCACTTGAAATTCGAACACACGACCACCAAATGGCTAATCACATTATAATCGTAATCTTATCCA